GCTGGCATCCTTGTACATGCAGTGCTGCCATCTTCTGTTTCAGTCCGTTATTACACTCTTAAATCCTACTACTTATTCCTGCGTCTTTCAGGATCTTACAAAGCTTCAAACGACGCGTTGAGGATTTTGATAGTCGACTAATCGTGGCAGCCCTACTGTACATACATGCTCAAAGGCATTTGTACACAAAGTGCAGGATGGCAGGCTACCTCTGGGTATGTACAGGTGCTTGGACCTTTCCTTGCCTCGATGATGTTTCCCCATCTCAGCAACCAATGTTGAGAACATAATGTCCTTACTCAGCTTCAGGTTTCTCAAACCCAGCACATTAACCAGAACACGATGTTCCTATCAGCTGTTTCTAATCAGTGAGGCCTAAAACAGAAGGTTGTCACATGTATCCATGTTAAATGTTATCTGCTGTAATAACAAGTTACTTTGTAACATCCAACTAGGATGTGAAGCCACGTTCTTTCCTTCCGTTAAACAGCAGCCTTGTAAATGTTAGCGGCCCGGCAGGCGGTTCCTCCCGTGTTCCTCCCGTGTTCCTCCGTGTACACGGAGACAGCAGGAACAGGCAGATGTTTCCACTGCCCACGGGAGCCTAGAATCAGCTCATCAAAGTGTGAGGGCATTAACATGTACCACACTGGGCACGACTGCCTCAAATATTTCTTTCCAAAACTGGTCAAACACTTCCTGCATGTGTGTCCATCTCGTCTTTTAATGGCGCGTCCCACACGGCGCCGCTGACACGTGGAGCGGAGCCACCGAGAGAATCTGCTCTGATAAACATGCAAGTGCCAAACTGGAATTTAAAAAGCTAATCAGCAAGAGACAGGCATTCGCACTAAATCCCACTCTTCTTGATGGCATGCAAATAGTGGAAAATTTAATCAGCCTTTTTTAACCCCTCCTGATTTCACCCTCAGTTGTCAAGGCAACAGTAATCTCAAAAGCTGTCTGGCGAGTCCAATTTTCCGACGCTGATCGGGACTTCTCAGAAATTGGCTGACGTGTGAAACGGCGCATGGGTGTGACCAAAATCACAACTGAACGTTTCCACGCTAACGAGCTGCGCTGTTACTGTCCAAGTACAGTTTACAGCCCACCAGTGGGTTCCAGTAACACCACCACTGTCCCAGCTGTGGGTTCACCACAGCTTTGCTTCTGAACATGTGAGGTGACTGACAGATGTTTTGCACACTTGCTGTCAGACTGAACATGGCTGTGTCCAGTGGGGCATACATGTCTATGTTAATGGTGCTTTCAGTGAAACCATCTGCTGAGCATGACCTCATCAGTGTAGTGAATGTGACAGCTGCAGGTGGCGTAGGCTCCTTTCACCATCATCATGTAGGCTCCTCACACTGATGACCTCTGACACCTCGCTCCCATTCATGAATCACTTTTCATTCATTTTTTGGTTTTCCAGGTTTCCACCATGATAATAACCTTGGTGCTGTCACGTTGCTGTGACTGTACAGGCCAGAGTGGTGAAAGCTTTCCACACTCCTTCCTGACACGACTGCTGCAGTTTGTGGTCAGAACGAGCATGATAAGAAGCTCTGACTCTGAGAATAATCACTGTTTGGTCACATGTCCTCTAAGGAGAAAGTAGAAATGATGTTTGCCTCTGGTGACACGAGTATTTCAGGGACGACCGGGCACGTAGGATTTTTTAATCACAAAAGTTTGAAGCCTAATCTTAAAAGTAGACAC